TGGTCCTGGGTGCTGGTGCTGGTGCTGTGACCTGGCTGAGCACGCGTTTGAGACGGCGGCGGCGCTGGTCGGGTGCTGGTAGCCAGCTGGCAATGTGCGCTGTCGAGACAGGGTACCCGTGCTTTGTGTCAGCTGGTGGGCTGCGTGTACATTGCGCAACCTGGTTCCAGCCAGCCGCATGTCAACGCGTCGTGGGATTCTGCTTAGCTATGGGTCTATGCTGGTGTAATTCTACAGGCTCATCAGGTGGCTATTCTGACACTTTGGGATCTGTACCAAATCTCCTTATGCATTTTTTCGAGCTCGATATCAGCCTCCTGGTTCACCAGCCCCTGAACTACATCTCCGTCACTTTGACGGCTGCGTTGGCCTCCCTCGCACCTCCTTCTGGATGGCTCTCCCCTCCACAGGGGACTCTTGCGTTTGGGAAGCTTCATACACTCACTCCCTTGAAGACCTGGTCTTATATTACGGCAACGCCCGTCAAGTTTGCCCCATTGGCTACATCGATGGGTGTCCCCGTGCGAACACTCCCTTCCCTTATCGCACTCTCGCCGCCCGGACGGTTCGACTACGTGATGATGCCATCGGTTAAATTATGCCTCTCACTCACTGTGCCTATCCTTGCTTCGTGAGATTCACACATTTTCCTATCTACTCTTCTCACCCTGATGTTCCGAGCTCAGCGACAACAGAACGTGCTCTCGCGGGAGATTTGTGTTTTTAAGGTTCAGAGTGTCTTTTGCTACCTTGTGTTTTTTTTTGACAGTTCCTTCCAAAAATGCCTCCCCACGCCACGTGGGAGGCGTGTGTGTGTGTGTGTCAAACCCTGTCTCTAAGGGTCCTCCCCTTCCTTTTTGGTTTTTCACTCTCAGCAGGGGCACACGGCATCCGTGACCTACCGTGTGCACCGAAGCTGCGGTCATGGATGGGAAGGGAAGGCTGATCACCTTCCTGTACCTGCTTTGAACATACTGACTCCACTGGGTTCCCTCGCTGCTTTTCTTTGTTTCCATGGTGGTTTTCATGCTACCTTCCCCAAAAACAGGTTTCCCTCCGCCACTTTCAGCCGCTCGTGAGCTGCCGTTGAGATTCTGCAGATGCTGATCAGTCACCACCGCTTTCCGCGAGAGTGTTTGCGAGCTTCTTGAAAACATTTTGTTCAAACACCTTCAAATGCCTGGACACTTCACTTTGCGGTTCCATCGCAATTGAGTTAACTGAAAACCAATGTCAGAGTGCGATCCCCGTCACTGGGGCGCTGATTTCATACCGGATTTTCACTAACAGCTTCCTTCGTTTCCAGCGTTCGTTGGATTCTCTTAACGGATTTGGTTTCACTACTGAATTAACTGCCTATAAGCCGCCGGGCTTCACGGAACACCCTTCTCTCACGCATTCCATTATGACCATTCTGAGATCAGGCACGTTTTTTCTAGTTCCCAACCCCGCCCCTGCCGAGTTCTACTCCCTACCTAATTAGGGTATCGCAGGGAAATGGTACTCGACACACTTGTGCGTCGGTGCCTTTCCCTCTGTTTTCCTGCTCTAGTCTACTCTACCCGGGCGGTCTAAGACTAAAGTCCTGCTCCCTAACTATTGCACTTAATTCGTTTCCGCTAAGTAGTCAGTAACTCTAGAGGGCTAAGTATTCTAACACACACACATGGACATACACCCCCTCCCTGCCCCCCTCTTTCCTTCTTGCGCTTTTCGTCGTTTGTTGGGCTTTCTTTCAGGCTCTTTAGGTGGTTCTTGAGGCTCGTTTCCCTACCCCAGTCAAGGGCTAAGTATTCACCTTTTGCGACTATACGCCCTAAAGGGACACAGCGCCAGAGAGTGCCAGCGTTTTCTGCGGAAAATCAAATGCCATCTTGGCAACGTGATCACATGTGCGCCGAAAACGGCCACGTGTGTGTGTGTGTGTAACCCTTGGAATCATAGGGATCCTTTTGGATTTTAGC